GACAAAATAATAAATTCAGTAGGTCCAGATGCAAATCCCTCATCACCCTCTGTATGATTTTCCTGTTTCCCTCTCTGTGATCATCGGCACTTTCTGTAGCCATCAAGGGCTGCTCAGGAAAGAGAAAACATACCAGTTATTTTAATAGAAAGAATTTAATGTAAATAACTATTAACTGGTTGTAAATTTGTTAACTAGGTAACTGAAAGGATAAAAAGAGAAGTCTAAGATACCATAGAAGTGGCAACTATAGGAAACAGCTGCTACCCTTAGGACCAAGGGGACCAAGGGAAGCATCTAGGATTATTAAACTTAGGAACTTAGAAGGATTCTGGCACCCAGACATCTGATGAGCCGGTACCTGCCAGAGGGTACAGGTGTCTGGGGGAGGAGGCATGAGATGAAGCTGGATTTCTGAGTGTTGGAAAATTCTCACACTCGAATCATTTGCGCCTCAGGGGGAAGGATCTGCTTTCAAGGTGAAGAATCCTTGCTGGAGAGATGCTCACATAATCAGTCAGCCAGCAGGAAGCAAATAGAAAGGAGCCAGTTCCTTTTTGCTTTCAACTTTCTGATCTCCCTCTGGTGCCCCCTATTGGGAGATCCCAACATAGAGTCAGCTGGTAAAGCAGAAATGTGGATTGCAGAGTACCCACTCCGCTATCGTAACGCCAAATGTAGAAGGGTAGGTTTCTAGCTGAGAGATAACAGCTCAATAATGGGCACAGTTATTAGTTAACCAGGTTTTAGAGAATCTTGGAGTCCTCCTGTCAACCAGTCAGTCATTCAGTTATTGCTTCAAAAAATACATATTGTTTAATAGAGTGTGCCATGCTTCGCTAAGTGCTGAGAATATATAGATGAATAGGATAGAGTCTTTACCTTCAGGGAGCTTGTAGTATAGTATGAGAGATACAAAAATGGAAATATGTTACAATACAGTGTGACAAGTGAATCAATAAAGAAAGGACCCCACGTAATAGGACATGATAACTCTGAGACAGAAGCAAGGGAAAGACTTTCTGGAGAAAGTGACTTGGGCATAGAGTTTTAAAAGATGAACTGGGGTTAGCTTACAGAAAGGAGGAGAAAAGGAAAAAGGATGAGGTGAGGATTCATAAATATCAAAGCCATGGAGGCATGAAATCTCATGGACTATGTGGGAACCACAAGCAAGCGTTTGATTATGACTGGAATACAAAACGGGAGTAGAAATCTCAGAAGTCAGTCTAAAGGGGTACACACAGGCCTGTTACACAGCAAGTCACTGAAGAGTTTTAAATGGGATTAACTCAAAGTTTTTGGAAGGCCTTCGATGTCTCTTGCCTAACACGAAAGCATCTGCTCACTCCACAAAGCTGGAAGACGCAACCTCCACAGGGCACTTAGTCAATCACCTGTGCTTCCACTTCCTCTACTATCAGCCTCATTCAGGAGTGACATTTATTCTCAAGTGGACTCTTGAGATGACCTCTTCACTGTGTGACTCTCTGCTGTCACTCCTGGTTCACGGCAGCCTTTACCTAACTTCTAGATTCGTCTTCCTAAATACAGCTTTGGACATCATTTTGATGATCACTTCATTTGTATCGTGCATCACATTTTTCCCAGTGATTGTCATGTGCATTAGTTGATTTAATTCTTACAAAAACCCTGGGACATTACACACTGTAAGGTTATTAACTCCAGTTTACAAAGTGAAATGGAAACAAGGGAACACAGGAGAAGTTGCCCAAGGTCATTTAATTAAGTGGCAGGGTTGGGGTCTCAACCTATCTCCTCTGGCTACAGCTGCTTCTGGCTATTTATTTAAATTTTGAGTATTCTTAATATTCTTCATGAGGTAAAGGGGTAGTTTCAGAATTTTAAATTGCTATGGAAAATGCATTGAGTTAAAGGAATTCATTTTCATTGCTTTTGAAGATGAGCACTGAGAATTCCTGGCTGGGACTGAGGAGGGAGGGGGGTTCTTTAAAAGGTTATATGATGCTAAGACAACATAAGTATGAATGCCTTTTAAAATATATTGTTCCTAGTTTTAATACTTATGTTTGTTTTCTTCTTAGTGTTAAGCAAGTGAATTAATTCTGGTTGGAAAGCGCATTTTGAATTATCTCCCAAATGAGCTTAAGCATAGAATAACCATTTGGCTATTCAGAAAGAACTGAAAATGAGATTTCCCTAAGCACAGACTCTTCAGGAGGAAAAGTTTCCAGTTAGATGAACAATTGAAGCCTAAGTCTTAAATAAGTTAGGAGTAATTGTGGTCTACGCAGCCTCTTCTGTTCAAAGTTTATTCAGACATAAAGATATTCTGTTTTTAACCCCACAGAAGGAACATTTACCTCACCATCATATTACTTTATTAAGTATTCAGTGCTGCTAAGAAATACTTAATCAGGCTGCATCCTTTAGTTGTTTTGGCGGATAAACTTGAGTCTAATATAATACTTAACATATAATACTTAATCTCTTACATAGTATAGATTTTTAAAATTCACGCTTGCAGGCAATTTTTTTAAGACTGTCCATTTTATGGCAGGCTTGGCTACACCTCATTGTGGGAATTCATGAGGGTTTAATAAAAATTAATTGAATCATCATAGAAAGGTTGAAGCCAGGCAAAAAAGAAAATTTTATTTCCCCACAGAAGCTCCCATGTTTGTTTCTGTATGTGTTCCTAGCAAAGACCTTTTAAAAAACTCACTGAGAGAAGTCCTTGGCTGTGAGCCCTGTGGTCCTCATTAGAATGGATCCCTCCCAATGCCACACCTGGTACCTTATATCTGCAGCAAGTACAAAGGCCAAACCCCGTAAACCTACACTGAGTGTGGAATCGGGCCGACGCACGGTAGTGAGGAATAATGAGGTGGGTTGCCGAACCGTAATTGCAGGTCACCGAGAATTATCTCTGAAGCTTCCACAGCCTCCAGCGGGAAGCTTGTCATTGCTCATACTTAGGTCGTAGTGATTTATCAACTGGAGGATGATCAAATCCCCAAAGCCCAAGATTTTAAATATCCTGCCTTTTTGGGAAAGGTACCGTCATTTACTTTGTCTTAATAACCTTTTCCGTTTTGATGGGTAATCTGACATGGCAGCATGCGAATATACCAGCATCTGAAGGGTATGTTAATTCAATACTCCTCATGGACTGGAAAATACTGATTTGTTCATGAATCTTGTCTCAAGTAGAGAGTAAGGTAAAGGAGGAAAGGGTCATCTCTTGGGTACATTCTTCCGCAACCTAGAATACTACCCTACTAAGAAAGGAGAGTTGATAGAGATGAGGCAAAGATGCAGAAAAGCCGTGCAATTATATGCCTTTTGGCCATTCATTCAAAAGAAATGATTGAACTTACTGGGCCCAGATGCCGGGAATACAGAAGTAGACTAACCCCACAAGTCCTCAGGAATTCCCTCTTCTGATCAAGTCTGCATCATGACTGTACATTCAGATGAGCAAATAACTCTTCCAAATGAAACATCAGATATTTGGGGCCATCCCGACAACTGACAATTCCATTTCTCTTACTCAGGTGTTTAATGCTCTCCTTATTGAGTACCAAAAGAGTATGCGTGGGCTCAAGTTTCGACATCAATAAAATCTAAAGATGGGGTGCAACAATCCGCTTCGCAGGCAGTTGAAAGAAGTTTTCGAGCATACTCTGCTTTTTCCTAAGTTTTGGAGAAGCTATCTAAAAGGAATTTGACTTTTGCCCTTTAAAGATCTATAAAGCAAACTCCTATTCTATGACTTCTCATGTTGTTTTCATTAATTTGTGTTTAGCTTTATCTTCTCCACTGAGCCACGAGCTCCTTTAGGAAAGGAGTGTGTTCTTCATCTCTGCTCCTGGTACAAGGCCTGGTGTATAACGAGTGCTCAATTAAAGGTTTGTTGATGAATACAAAAAAGGATGGTCCTTATTTTGAAGGGTTATGGTTTAATGGAAGAGGAGAAAAATCAAATGAAAAGAAAATAAGTGACAAGCAGGGAAGTGAATTTAAAACATTTTTAGAACATCCTGGAAACAAATGCCAAATAGCATCGTGCTAGGTAACTGAAGATAAGACTGTGGGTTTCTCTTCATCATCCTCGCCCTTCAGTATGCTAGCCTGGGCTTTTTCAAGTGGAAATCTCATGGCTCCAAGAGCAGCAAGAGGGTCGGCTTCAATGTGCAAACGCTTTCAAGTCTACATTCATCATCTCTGTTACTGTCCCATCGGCCAAAGAGAGTCATACAGCCAAGCTCAGAGTGAGTTTGGAAGCATATTAGCAAAAGACGTGGCTACTGGGAGATTTAAATAAATTGAGACCCTTACTGCAATCCGCCTACATCAGAAGAGTAAGAATTCCCAATACTATCAGCCTCTAATAGTTGCACAGGGTGTGGTTCCAGTTGTGCAAAAAAATAAAACCCCAATATAACTTGATGTGCACATGCGCGCACACACACATATACATAAACATGTAGGCAAAGATCCAGAAAATACCAACAAAAGTATTAATAGTACTTACATATATGCTTCTGTGTTTTTAAATTTTTAATATTAATTTTTTAAAATTTTTCACATGTGTGTTTCCATGCATTGCATGTGTAATTTTTTTTTAGGAAAAAGTCTGGAAGGTGATACAACAAAATGTGATTGAGAGTGATGTTTCACTTTCTAACATTTTTAGTTCTTCTGTATTTTGTATGTTTTTTATAAAATACATGCATTCTTTATGATTAGGCAAAGATGCATATAAACCAAATATATGCATATATATATCAACTACATGTATATAAATGCATCAATTACATTTTTTAAATGACATTGAGTACAGTCTCTGGTGTCCTCTTCCATCTGGTCTTTCCTCATCATGACACCAGGAAGAGACAGTTGAAAAGTTGAGTTGATAAAATCTAAAAAGCAATTTCCCACTGTACCTACCAACCTGTTTTTTGAAGTGTTGACGTTTGCAGCTGTCATTGATCGCTTTCTTGGTTTCCTTTCAGACGTCCTGCTAGCACTGAAGACGAGTCCCTTTTGTTTGTGTGGTCAGAAGGAGCCCTTGAATTTACTGATGCTGCAGATACTCTGAAGCCATTCACACTCTACGAATATCGGGTCAGAGCCCATAACTCCAGGGGCTCCGTGGAGAGTCTGTGGTCCTCAGCACGGACTCTGCAAGCCCCACCTCAAGATTTGCCAGCCCCTTCGGCTCAAGCCACTGGTCCTCATTCAGTTCTGCTGAATTGGACGAAGCCGGGATCTCCCAATGGCATTATCTCCCAGTACCGTGTGGTCTACCAAGAAAGACCAGATGACCCAACGTTTAACATCTCTACTGTGCACGCTTTCACAGTGATGGTAAGATCTTGGGAAAAAGAATAGATGCTTAGATTATCTGGTTAATATGTTGAAATTCATTTTCTTATCCAATTTGTCATTTTTCTTCGCTGAGGTGTTAAATAGCTGAAAATCTTTCACATGTGAAAAGAACGATGTAGTGACGAGGATAAGGGATACTGAGGATAAGGGATATTGGAAACCACAGTTAATTTGTATTACCTCAAGCACGTAAGTGAATCTCTCTTTGACTGATTGCCAAATCCATTAAATGGGAATATTAAACGTGTCCCTCTACACCTCATGGGGATGAAGCTCAGATAAAAATAGCCAGAAACCTAATTTTCTTCTTTCTCAAAGAGCCAATTATATCACATATGTAAATCTATATCTATCTAGACATATCAATATTTATATTGATATTTATATCAATGTATCTACACATATATAGGACTCATATGGGTGAAACGACATCACCCACAGTAGATAGATAGAGCTAGAGATATCTCTAGATAAATATAAATATGTGATATAATTGGTTTTTTAAGGAAGAAGAAAATTCAATTTCTAGATCTGTCTATGAGGATGCATACATATAGAGATCACAGGCACTGTAATTTAGTGGTGATTTTTCTGGATTGGCCCCTCCAGCCCACAACACAACTTAATTTAGTCCACCTGGAATCTCTTAAGAGCTTTCTTTGTACCTGGCATAGCCTCATGTTCAATGGGAGATACAGGGATGGTCCTCATGTCAGGGAGCTTCTCTTTTAAAATATCACAGAGATGAATTGAACATAAGAAAAAAATAAGAGAAATAATGAATCACAGCCAATAATATCCAACATCTCAGGATTCAGACCCAAAACTCCAGCCCCTACTAGCTGTAAAGCACAATACAAGAGAGAATAATATCATATACCAAATACGTTAGGCAAAAAATGCTCTGAGAGGTCAGCAGAAAGCCCTCAGACTGAAGAGGCTTCATGGAGAAAATGAAACTTTGTGGTGTTAGGAGTTAAATACGTGTGGTTTTCAAAATGTGCCAAGACCTTACTAAATATGAAAACCCCTCATAAATAAGAAAAAATGAATAATAAGCATAGAACATTATTTTCAAAGACCAAGCCATGTTTCTATACTTCCAATAATTTAGACAGCCCAATTTACACGAATATTATCTTTAGTATATAACATTTATCAAAATATCTAAATAATAGCGGGCAAATATATTTTAATGAAATTCCAGAACAATCTTTGTAAATGAATAGTTGAAAGTGCTATGTTTTCTCACTTTCCTTATGTTTAACTTTCTCATATATCTAAAACCTAAGCATCATGTGAATGAAGGGATAATATTAAAGAAATCTTTCTTTCAGAATTGATACTTCGTTTTTTGTTTGACATTTAGTTATCTTTACATATCAGGGTCTTTCATATTACATGTTCCAGATCCTGCATTATAAGCATTCAAGCAGCATTGTTAGGTATAGACCACCTTTTTTAGTTGATATGTGATCCATGGGGAAATATATTACTTCTTACCATATCCTTGGAATTCATGTTCTAAACTTTCGCTCTGAAAGTAGAATACCAAAGAATGAAGTAAAAATACTGAAAAACATTTGATATGAGTTTTCTGAATGAGATACCTTAAGTGTATTTTATTGAAGGCGCCAATATTGCAATGATTAAATATCTGATCTTTTAAAATAGGGCTTTCAGAAGTATGAGCCTAACCATTTAATCTCCCCAAGTTCTACTGAAGTCCCTTGTAGGATGTATCAAGGCATTCCTCTATACCCAGTTTCATTTCACAACACAAGACTTAAATTATCTGGTGAACTCTGTTCTTTATTTAATCTGCTAGGTTCTATTTTTATCACACTAAAATGTTCTAGAGAAAGAGGGAGGCCTGTGGCCCCAAGCTTTAAGCTTCACACAGGCCTCTGTTCATAGGCCCTCCCTGACATAGCTTCTATCCTGACAGCCCAGTATTGCCACACTCTGAGAATAGCCAGAATAATTAAAAAACAATAATATTTCTGCATCCTATTTTTGAATGCATGTGAGTGTCCAGAGTGGCTCCCCAAAATGTGGATCTTTGGCCCTGAGAATTCCAAGAGAAGACTGAAGTTCATCAGGAAAGACCCCATTTGAGCTTTTTTAGCAATCAAGGACGTCTTCCACAGAGCAGTTGGGCCAACATTCTGGTCTCTAGGCCAAGTTTCCAGGTCAGAAGGCTACCATGACTCTTAATGGACTGACATCTTTGAAAGAAGTAGCCAGAAAAATAAATAATTATCTCTGACTTTCATCCATTCCTATGCTCCCAAGAGAATGTGTTCAAACAATTTTTTTAATATATCTAAAGAAGGAGGTTCTACTACTTAACTCAACTCACCATCAGAGAAGAATGTTCCTTTTATTCTAGCCAAATCCCTCCTCTTGTCACTTCAGTCCATCTCTTCCTGTTGAGAAGAACGTGACTTCTCTGCACTAGTACAATGGGCCTTCAGGGTCAAGAACAGATTATTGACGATTCAATCCAGTTTGGCAGATAGCAATTGACTCCTATATTCAACAAGTCGATACTCAATACTACACTCGACTGTGTTACTGAAGCCTACCGTGGGATTGGGCCCTTGAGCAGAGCAGAGACTGTGGAGGAAGATGAGTAATCAAGTCTGAGGCAGAGATTATTACTTCTGGGCAGTTCAGATTTTTAAGTTTCTCTGCTTCTGAGTTTCTGCTGCTCATGGTTTGATAATTCCTTGTAAATCTCTCTCTGAGTGCCTTCCCGGCTCTACTTACTATTTCTTTCATTCCTACACCAGCTAATCTTCACTGTCTCCTTGCATTTCTGTTCCCACCCTAGGAAATCTTTCAAGTTTTCGTTTCATTGACTGCTTTGGCTGAAATTCTCCAGAGCAAAGGAACTACAGTTTCAATTAGTGAGACGTAGACGCCATCCCCACAATTGCAGGATTACAGTTCAATCCACAGGCTTGCAAGAGGTATCGCTAATGCCCCTCCTTCAGTCTCTTGTTTATTGGGATCCCATTTCTGCACAAGGGGCCGCCAGTAAATTGCCCATAGTGTAATGCCATCACTAGCTTGTCCCAAAGCCCCCCCAGAGTTGTTTATAGACAGGTGGATGTTGCTGGGAGAGCCACATAAGACAGGTGCAATGGATGCATGAATCCTCCTGATGGTGGCAGTGGATGGAGAAGTGGCAGTGGGGGCCCTCCATAGGGGTGGAGAGCATATGTGTTGGCAGGAGCAGCAGCAGCAGCAGCAGCAGAGGCAGCAGGAGAGAAGAAATGGAAAGAGTGTAGGTTTTAATGTATCACCAGCTTCTCTCCCAACCTCACGAAAAGTTTTATCTCTCTTTGAGCCTTAGTAGGTCCTTCTAAGGGGAAGAGAGACAGAGCTTGATTTTTAGAGTCTCTTCAGACCAATACCCTCCACTAGTGAAAACAAGCTTTAGGAAGAAGTCTTTAAACTCCCTTCCCAATTAGCTCTGTGATGAATTATGCAATGTCAGGAGAGAAACTGTATTTAGCTTTGCTTGGCATGCAAGAGTTCCACGGTGGTATTTACAGGGAACACTCCTGGCGAGGTTGGCGACATTGCTGCCACCATTCGGATTTCTTCACTTTTTCTCAGTGGCATCTGCCATCACATTGGCAAAAATAACTTGGGATTTAAAGGCGAAAGTGCTTCACCTGTTAGTCTGTGCTCTAAGTATAGCCCTGCTTCCCCCACAGGGTTATAAAACATGAAGTCCAAATGATACACTTGCCCAGTACCCTGAAAGATAGATGGGACTTCACTCTGTGTGTAGAATCAAGCATTTCTGTGCGAGGGGTAAGCCAGTTATATGGGTCACTAAAAGTTGGCTTCCCATCTGAAAATAAAATCCAGAATTACAAACTCTAGTTTCTAGAGTCTAGTTGCCAAATTCCCTTGCCCAATGTCAAGAAGGAGGTATTCAAAATTACCTCGTGTAGTTGTTCAGATCTTTACCATTAAGTGGCTATGTGGGGAAAAAAACAAGATAGTTTATATTGCCGTATTTTGATGAGTTTGTGAGTAAATTGGTGAATTCATTTTTAATCCCATTTTCATTTTGGCTTAGTATAATATAAAATATTATTGCTCTTTACCTATGATCTTAATAGATTATAGCTCTTAAATTTGATGGTTCTTAGCCTTTTCTCCCCAGATCCATTTGTAAGTCAATAGAAATGCCTAGGAGATGGAGCTATCTAGAAGGACTCCTTTAGTGCCTATCTTTCCAGAATGAAGACAAAATTTATAATAAAAATAATTACTATACTTTCCGTATCAGTTCTATAAGCTGAGATTTTCACATTTTATAACATGAGGTAATGGTGTCATTCATTTCTTTATAGAAAATTACAAAATATGGGTAGGTAAATGTCACACAAATCAATGGATACTGGTTGGTGCAACGAACGCATTTTGTTGTACTGTAGTGATGCGTTTGCTTGGATGTTAACTTTTCACTTACTAGCCTTGCTTTATCTTTATCTGTTTCATCTAATAATACCCTACCGATCACAAATACATATTGGAGATTGGCTTCTGGCCCATATTATTGGGAATGCAAACCATATAAATCTTCTTCAACTTCGTATGACAACTTCTTTGACAGAGCTTTAGGCACCGGCCCAGTGGCGTAGGGGTTAACTTTGTGTACTCTGCTTTGGCGACCTGGGGTTTTCAGGTTCAGATCCCAGGAGTGGACCTACACCACACATCAAGCCATGCTGTGGCAGGTGTTCCACATACAAAATAGAGGAAGATTGGCACAGCTGTTAGCTCAGTGACAATCTTCCTCACCAAAAAAAAAAAAAAAAAAAAAAAAACCAAAACAGAGCTTTATTTTTTCTCCAACCTCTTTACTCCAACAAGCTTCATCAGAATGCCCTTGCTTGATCATCAGTAGTTTCTAGGGCAGTTCCCACGGTTTCCCAGTCACTTTCAGTGACAAA